TGCTCTAGGTATACCACTTCATGGTGCTTTGCAGCTCTTTCTAAGCGGTTCACAGAGTCAGACTCTTGCCCCCAACAATCTGGATCCTCATTTTACCAATCTTAGAAGGATGGAAGGCTGAGTCTACCTTGAGCCCATCAGGATTGAACTCACCGCTGTGGGGACAGTCAGCCTGCAAAAGCCACTCCACCGCCATGGCTCTTCTACTGCTACACCACCTATTTCAAAGCAAATGCTTTGCATCTGAGGGATTGGTCCCAGGACTTTGTGAGATATAAAAGGGAAGGCACAAGACCTGGAGCAGATGAACATTTTTTTGCCCTCAGAAGGAAAATACATCAGAATTCTCATCATGTTCTGGGCTTCCTTCCTTCTCTTATTGCTGGTCAACTCCTCAGGTACCATTGAACATTCTTCCTTCCAATGTTGTTTGCTGAACAAGTGATCCTTTCATTCTGTCCCAGGGAGACAGATATGGATGCCGGCTGGGTCAGGACATACTGGGCAAAGGATCCTGTGCAAAGAAACAAAGAAATAAATAATGTCTTGTGCAAAAGAACATTTTCACTTGATGAAACATCTAACCAATGACCTCTCTCCTTTTATGTCACCTGAGGAGTTGACCAGCAATGAGAGAAGGAAGGAAGCCCAGAACATGATGAGAATTCTGATGTATTTTCCTTCTGAGGGCAAAAAAAGGCTCATCTCCTCCAATTCTTGTGTTTTCCCTTTTATACATCTCAATGTCTTGGGACCAACCCCTCAGATGCAAAGCATTTGCTTTGAAATAGGTAGTGTAGCAGTAGAAGAGCCATGGTGGTGGAGTGGTTATTGCAGACTGACTCTGCCCACAGCGGGTTGTTCAATCCTGATGGGCTGAAGGTAGACTCTGCCTTCCATGCTTCCGAGGTTGGTAAAATGAGGACCCAGATTGTTGGGGGCAAATATGGTGACCCTTTAAACCACTTAGAAAGAGCTGCAAGATACAATGAAGTGGTATAGAAGTCTAAGTTCTTTTCTTTTCCTATTCCAATTCCTTTCTCTTCTCTTCTCTTCTCTATTGTATTCTGTGCCATTCCATCCCATCCCATGATCCCATCCCATGATCTCATTCCCTTCCATTCTAATCTCTTCAAAGAAAAGGCATCCCAGATCAGCCTCCTTTTAGTTTCCTACCGATGAAAAATATCAATTTCCAAATTTGAATCAAAAGGAGGAAAAAAATTGCAAAGACGTTACTATGGACATGCTTTTTATTGCAACCTTTATGAAGATTTAAAATTCATTCCTGTTTATTCCAAAATGAAGCAGGACAAGGTCCTTATACTTAGCAAGGCTGAGAGAAGATAACAGTCTCTTCTTAAGTATCAACGGTGTCAGAATTTCCCAGCCAAGGCTCATGGTTGACTCATGGGAGGAAGGAAGCGTTTGCAAGAAAGCACAAGGGGAGGTTTTTGTCTCACTTCTGCATGTGAGTGTATCACTGTGTTACCACCAGTTGCCGCCACTGCTGTAATAACTACCACAATAGTAATCAGCCTCATCCTCAGCCTGGAGGTTTGAAATGGTTAAATAGGCTGCATTGGCCGAGGTGTCTTTGGACCCCGTGAACCGGCCGTTTCTGCCAGTTTCATAGAGAAGGTATTTGGGGCTCTCTCCAGCCTTCTGTTGGTACCAAGATATGTTATAGCTGCCTACTTGGCTGTCTTGCCTCATGGTACATGAGATCTTTGCTGGTTGTGCTGGGGGAAACGATTGTGCCGCAGGTTGAGTCAAGGTATACTGTGAATTGGCTCCTGAAAATAAAAAAGGGAAGAGAATGAAGGTGAACACCCTATAGATCCACTCTTGGAGTATCTTTGG